TATCAAGGGCTCATGAGGGAGGGGAGAGCGGCGAGGGAGGGGAAAAATGAGGACCTAATGCCGGGGGTTTAAGTGGAGAGGAAAATGAATGTACAAATGCGCTTTACACAATTGATGTGTGTATGGATTGTGATGAGTTGTATGAGCCCCTAATAAAATGATTAAAAAAAAAAAAAAAGAATGTACAAATGCGCTTTACACAATTGATGTGTGTATGGATTGTGATGAGTTGTATGAGCCCCTAATAAAATGATTAAAAGAAAAAAAAAAGACATGAAAATATATTAATTTATAAATTATCAAGGGTTCGTGAGGGATCGAGGAGGGAAGGAGAGAAAAAATGAGGAGGTGATAGCAAGGGCTCAAGCAGAAAGAAAAATTTTTGAGAATGATGGCAAAAAATATACAAATACGCTTGACACAATGGATGGATGGATAGATTGTGGTAAGAGTTGTACCAGCCCCCAATAAAATGATTTAAAATGAAAAAGAAAAAAAAGAAAGAAAATGATGGCAACAAATGTACAAATGTGCTTGACACTATGGATGTGTGTATGGATCGTGATAAAAGTTGTATGAGCCCCCAATAAAATGATTTTTTTTAAAAATTTGGTCTATATGGACCAAATAGACCGTTGGGGAAAAAAAAAAAAGAATTCCCTTACTATTTTAACTGTAGACTTACTTGTTTCTTTCTGTGCAGGCACCCTAAGAATGCAAATGTTACTTTGCTTTATGGTATCCCACATCATCCTCAGGCTTTCTTCAGATTCCTTTGCATTTCTGTTTGTTTCTCGTTTGCTATATTCTGCTTTGTTGTCTTTGAATTTGCGGATTTGGTTTTTCCATTTCTTCCGGTCTATTGGTCAGATTTTTTATTTTGTTTTTTATTTCTGCTACAACACTCCTTAGCTCCTGGATTTCCTTTGGGTGTGAGGTTTCTAGGAGCTCCATTTTTTTCATCTGTTTTCAGGATTGATCCCCTAATCTCTCGTAAAGCCCTAAGCATAATTTTCTTCTATTCTCTATCTGGCAACTCAAGGGCTCCTTCGTCTGTGTATTCATTCCATTGGGTTTGGGTAATCTTCAGTTGTTATCTATGGTTTCTCTTCATTTTTGTGGTAGCTGCTGATGACTGTTGTTTGCGCCACATAGTGGTTGAGCTGTAGGTGCTGTATAGGCTTTCTGGGTAGAGTGTGTGTGGGGGGAATTAGCTCTTTAGGTTAGAGGAGGATCAGATAGATGCTGGAAATAGTATTGTTATGCATATGAGGAGTGCCAGCTGGGTGGATAGGAGGAACAGGATATAGGTGCTCGGCAATAGATTAATTAGTGGTATTAATCATCGGTAGCATTCCTGTTGGAGAAGAGGATTATAAGAGATGTGGTGTTACTTCGTGGGTTATGAGAGGTGGAGGAAGCAGGGTCTTGAGGTAATGGTAGTTGGGGTGAGAGGTATATTAAAACTGCCAGACTCACTTATCAACCTTGTATATTATATTGGAAGAGCATAGCCTTTCTGTTATTGTGTTTATAAAAGGAGGCCCTTTTATTGTGAATTTCTGCACAACTCAGTATTAACTGCTTCCTGCATGTGGTCCCATGGTGGAGGTGGAGGAATGACAGTGAGTTCCAGTGTCAGCCATTTTGCCTTGTTAGGGGAAGGGAAGCTGCTGAGAAACCCGGTTATGTTGGGTTCGGGTGTCTCTGGTGAGAAAAGAGAGTTTTGTTGTTTTCTTTCTTAAAAGAAAATAGGAACAAATATAATAAATCCTTGGAGCCCCCTGCGGGTTTCATGTTGTAATACTATCTTAGTGGGGCTGGATCCCTTTAGAATTAGCTGGGGGTATATCTATCTGGAGAGTTGTGCCTTTTCAACGAGGGAAGGAGCAGGACTCCCATAAGAGAGTGTAGCTATAGCAGCTCTTTTCAGCAGGCTGCCTCAGGCTTGGTATCCAGGGTTTCCGGAGGTCCGAGAGGATGTGGGCCCATGGACTGCAGTTGGGGGGCAGTCTGTCTTGGGATATTTCACCGCACTGGCATAGGTCATAGAATTAGTGGGGTGGGGAGGAGGCTGGCAGCTGCTGCCCCACTGACCCTCCTACAGTATGGGAGAGGAAAGGCTGAAGGCACGCACGCACGGTGAGTAGGGAACACTTCGGTGAGCTTGTCCAAACAATTCTGGGATGCTGAGCGTCTAGGTTTCCCATCTGATTTCCCAGAGTTGGCCTCCTCACCATTTCATCTGCTGGTCACACAATGGGAACTCTAGGTGAGCGATTCAACATCAGAGCCATCTTCCCAGATGTCTGATTTTAAACCATTCAGTATCTCCTTGTTTCGTTGGAACTGCCTCTTGGTCTACGTATTCATTTTGCATGAGCATAATTAAGTATTCTGGAATTCCCATTCTTCTCAATATTAGTTTGTTGTGAACCACACAGTTGAATGTCTTTGTACAGTCAAGAAAAAACAAGCAAAATCTTTCTTGTATTTTCTACTGCCAGCCAAGATCCTTCTGACATCAGCAATGATATCCTTTGTTTCATGTCCCCCTTTGAATCTAGTTTGAATTTCTGGCAGTTCTATACATACTGCTGCAACTGTTTTTGGATTATCTTCAGCAAAATTTTACCTATGTATGATATTAATGATACTGTTTCGACAGTGTCCATATTTTGCTGGGTCCTTTGGGATGTGCAGAAACATAGTTCTATACAATTGGTAGGGAACTATCTTGCAAACTTCATACCACAGATGAGTGAGCACTTCTAGTGCTAGGCTGGTTTACTGAAGCTTTTCAATTTCAGTTCATTTTCAGGAGCTATTCTTTCCAGTGCCTTCAGTGAAGCTTCAACTTCTTCCTTCACCACCACTGATCTCCTGAAAGGATTGAATCCTGAACAATTCTTTTTGGTACAGTGACTCTGTACTCCTTCTATCTTTGATGCTTCCTGCATCATTGAATATTTTGCCCAAAGAATCCTTCAATATTGCAACTCGAGGTTGGAATTTTGTCTGGGATCTCCAGATCAGATTTCATTTATGTTCTGGAGCTGCCCTTTGAAATTTTCTTAGTTGTAATCCATTAATAATCAGAGCATGAAATGTACAAAGTATGACTGTGGGACAATTGGAAGTCATCAAATATGAAATGGAAGCATAAAAATCTAAATCTTGGAGCATTTGTGAGCTGAAATGGACTGGTACTACTTGACTTTAATCAGCCAATCTTATGGTTTATAATGACAGAAATGACAAAATGAAGAACTGTGTTGCACTCATTGCCAAAAATTTCATCAAGATGCAAATAAAACCAATTAAAAATCGAAAAGTGGTTAACTGAAAAGGGTCAGGATGATTCTAACACTAAAAATAAATATCAATTAGAGGACAGGTAGTCATTCAAAAGAAGTGAAAATCTACATGCACAGACTTGAGTGTCCATAACAGTATTTATAATATTCAAAAATAGAAACAAACCAAGCCAAGTGTTCATCAACTGATAATGAATATGGTTTGCCCATGTGATAGTAAATTATTTGGCAATAAGCAATAATAAATACTATATAATGGCATATTACTGGCAATAAAAAGGTGTATTATTTGGCAACTGATACACACTACAAAACAGATGAACCTCAAAAGCATTGCTATATTCCAGAATGCACACTATTGTATGATTTCAGATAAAAAGTAGATTAGTAGTTACTTCAACAGGAAATGAGATGAATGTCTTTGTAATGAAGACTGTTAAATTTTAAAACTTTAATTGTATATCTTAAAGAAGTGAATTTTATGGTAAAAAAAATGATGTGCAGATATCTGTGTCCAGTAATACAATAGAAAAGGATAATAAAAATGCAATCAGCCCAAGGCCTCCATTCTCCAACCTTCTTTTCCCAATTTCGCACCACAAGCATCCTTCCCATGACACACTACTTATCCACTGTATTCAATAAGGCACTACAAAACTCCAATATTCACCTCATTAAGCTATGAGACTTACATCTGTGTGCGTGCACACACACATACAGAAATGTTTTTTTAAAAAACCTAAAAATTTGTATGCTTGATAATATGGAGATTTAGGTTTTCCTCATTTATGGTAGTGATTTTTATTAATTACGTTTTTCATATAAATGTTAAAAACATTATAAGATTAATCAACCACTGTTCTTTTCATCTCATTCACAGAACGAAACATTAGTATAAAGAGTGGAAAAGGTCTTTGACCCACCAGGAATAAGTGACTAAGCCTACCTTATCACTCAAAGGTGGTCGATTCATGGGACTAATTCCTTTTCGAAGTCCCGTTGTTTTCCTAGCTGCCAGGCCAGTGATAACTCCATAAGGACGTCTCTTTCCAGGCATTACTCTTCCTCTACGGCTCAGACTATTTTTACCAAAACCTGTAAAAGAAGAAAACGAAAAACAAAATGTAGATCTAGTAACATATTAAGGAGGGCACACAGGATACAGAATACCAGGGTAAATTAAGAAGTGTTGTTAAGGTTTCAGTTTATACACATATAGGTTTATTCCAAATAAAACATCTTTAAACATGTCTTAGCAATCAGTGGGTAGCTGTAGACAAGTTCTCTCAGTAATACATGTGGCTTAGTCAGGGTGTGATGTAGCAACGATGAAAAATACAACTTTCCTCTAGTTCCTAAATGCTTCTTCTGCCCCCCACTATCATGATCCGAATTCTACCTTGCAAGTCTGGCTAGACCAGAGGATGGTACCGATAGGAACTGGAAACAGGGAATCCAGGGCGGATGATCCCTTCAGGACCAGTGGTGTGAGATACTGGGAGGGTAGAGGAAGTGGGTTGGAAAGAGGGAACCGATGACAAGAATCCACATGTGACCTCCTCCCTGGGGGAAGGACAACAGAAAAGTGGGTAAAGGGAGACGTCGGACAGGGCAAGATATGACAAAATAACAATTTATAAATTATCAAGGGCTCAAGGAGAAGGGGGGAGCGGGGAGAGAGGGGAAAAATGAGGATCTAATGCCGGGGGTTTAAGTGGAGAGGAAATGTTTTGAGAATGATGAGGGCAATGAATGTACAGGTGTGCTTTACACAACTGATGTGTATATGGATTGTGATAAGAGTTGTATGAGCCCCTAATAAAATGATTTTTTAAAAATTAAAGGGAATTGAAGACTATTAAAAATAATAATAAATCTGATTAAAAGGAGAAAAAATATGACAGAATTTTACCTCTAGGCACCTTCTATTTCTGACTGTTATGGAACACCTTCCCTACACTCATCCCCGTGGCCTGTCCTTTATTTCTCTCATTGATGCCTTCTTCCCGGCTTCCTTCCAGCAGACTTCGATCATCCCTTCTTTCTCCTATCGAGTAAATGTCACCACCTATAATCTAAATCTTACCACTACTCCTACTGTTCACTCTTTCATTGTCACATTTCATTAAAAACTGTCTATACAAAATGCTCCAGTGACCCTGTCCCACAATCCTATGTAACTGCCTCGCATTCTAATACTAAGAGGAGCTAAAGATACCATCCAACACAACAGTCTTTCTCCAGTTTTCATTCCATTTAGCACCTTCAGAGTTCTCTTTCCAACAAGAGATCCTTCATCACAATGTGGAAGTCTGTATTTTCCTAGCTAATCAGAATTTTTAACAATTCCACTCACTCTACACGCTCAATAGCAACAGAGCAGCAGCTGTTCTATTTTAGCTAGCCATAAGTGCAAGTTCAGTCCTATGAGATCCTAAGCTGACCCTCGATATCACTGATTTCAAGGCTCAGATCATAACCTCTATATAATGAAAGTCTTCCTGATCCTTCATGGCCCAGACCACGTTTTACCATATGCACTAAATCACCTCTGATCATCTTAGCACCAAAATTCTTACCTAAAGTCCTATAGTAATATCAGAATTTCTTTTATGACATTTCTCTTACACTATTCTTTTTATTGTTGCTCGCATGCCTATCTCTTCTCTACTACTAGAAAATAATTCCTTGAAATAAAAGGCCCCATCTTTATATAACTGCAGAATCTAGTCAGTTCAGAGCATTTATAGTATAATTAACATATGGTCAATAAAAATTATTATGTCTCTGGCTTCTATGAACTTTGATGTTAGTTATCTTTAAACAAATCACACACTGAATATGGTATGCTGAGTGATAATATGTCTTTACATCTAGATCACTGGAATTAAATTATTACAGCTAAAAATCTCACATTAAACTTGCTTACTTAGATTCGAATGTTCAAGAAATATTTAGGGAATAAAAAAAATTGGTAGAGTTTAATCTTACATATTCTGAAGACATTAACTATTAAACACAGAACTGGTGATTTATTGGAAATTATTTTCTTTCAACATATACAGTAAAAATCAACTTAGATGCAAGCTAGTTTGTCAAACACTTTTTCATATATATGAAGGTCTAGTTTTTTGACATGAACAAAGGTTTATTCTAGGACACTGATCTCTAACTGCTAAAAATGTCCATGAGTCACATATAATAGTATTCAGTTACTATCTAACTCCATTTTAGAACCAGGCTTATAAATAAATAATCTTCCAGATGACCAAAAATAACCATCTAGGGGTATATTTAGAGTTTGGCGATAAGTTAAATTACATCTAAAGTCATCAATTCTGAGTGGCATCTTTGGAGGGTCTCTAATAAATCGGAGGGCCCTGGATAATAAGATAGAGTCTACAAGTCATTCCCTATGTGGAACGTAACAACAGTTTCTACACATTTAAATGGTTCTCACATAAAAAAGACAACCGCTTTCTAGAACTTCATGGATGTAATCAGTCAAAAAACCACCGCCTCTGAGTTGCTACCGACTCATAGGAACCCTGCAGCACAAAGCAGAGCTGCTCCATAGGGTATCCGAGGTTGTAAATCTTTATGAACAAGTAATAAGTAACTATGGCTAATTTAATAGAATTTTCTAGTGACACAACTGCCCCTAACAGTAGACGTTGTCTGTGAAATGATATGCTTCCATTGAGTGTACATAAGCTGGAGCCAGTTCTCCATCAGACACTCTATTAAAGGTGCACCTCACTGGAAAGGGCATAGGATCTTCAATATATACAACACTACTGCAATTCTATACCCTAAATATGAGTTAGACTCTTTATAAACTGAAGCTGCTTTAAAAAAAACTTTGTTTACAAGAAATAGTGTAGCTTACTTAAATTTTTACCAGAATTTAAGATCTAAGCAAAA